TAGTGGTGGCTGGCTGCCTTGGCTGATGGAACTGAAAGAAATGTAATATGACATTTTTTTCGTCTTAGCAAATAGCTGAGGATAGTCTGGAAACTTTTGTGTGGATTTAATTGTGTTGAACCCGTTGGGGATGTTTTTTATAAATCTAAATTATTCAAGAGATTATTAAATAGTATTTATGGAAAAAATAATGGAGTTAAAGCGGATTGGAAAAAGTCTGCAACGTTTAAGGCACGTTATATGATCAGAAGACTTCTTAAAGGTCTTATATGGACTGGAGACAGTTTTTAAGAGTTTTTCTGGACTGGGATTGGCAACCATTAAAAGCTCACATTTACACAGAAGATTTGTTTTTTTTATTATTTGACCTAAAAATCATAAGAAGCCGAAAAACTGATGAGGATTTGTTTCTCTTTCCGGAAACATGGTCTTTACTGCATTAATATCTGTAAACTTAACTATCTTTCTCCACTAATAAATAAACTTCGGTTTTCTAAAAACAACAATGGGATTAAGCCTAACTATTTTGCGACAAAAAAATATGGTTTCCGTCCGTCCGTCTCTCTGTCTGGCTGGCTGTTACGCACGATAGCTCTCGAAGGGAGTACCCAATTTAATCCAAACTTGGTACATCGTAATATTTTTGTCAAACTTAGGTCGAGTTCCGAGATGGGTAATATCGGTCCATTCCTTTTGGTACCTCCCACACAAAATGTCGAATTTTTCAAAGAAAATATTTTATTGCACAGAAAAAGAAAAGATCATCCGATTTTGCTCCAACTTTGCAAATCCTAATATTTTCATCAGTGTTAGATCATATGCGAAAATGGACAATTTCGGTCCACTCCATCAAGTACCTCACAAAGAGTCAAATTTTGAAATAGTTATAACTCTTATAAAATGTGATGTAAGAGTCTGATTGTCTTCAAATTTCACACATCTCAATAATTTTTTATTATGCCCAAGAACTGGTATACAGATGGAATAAATCGGTCCACTTCTTCTGGTAGCTCCCCCACAAAGGGTCGAAATTTTCAAAAAATATTTTTGAACAGAAATAGAAACAATAATCCGATTTTGCTCCGACTTTGCAAATCCCAATATTTGCATCAGTGCTTGGTTAGGTGCGACAACGGACAATATCGGTCCACTCCATCAAGTACCTCCGCCACAATAGGTCAAAATTTTAAATATTTATAACCCTTATAAAATGTGAATTATAACTCTTATAAAATATTTTTATTAACCCAAGGTCTGGTATTAAGATAGGATATATCGGTCCACTCCTTCTGGTACCTCCCCCACAAATGGTCAAAAATTTTAATACCCATGAAGCTCATAAATCGCGAAATTAACCTCCGACTCTATTCAGAAATGGCACATCTAATATTTCTATCAACACAAGATCTGTTATAAAGGTAGTAGAGATCAGACCATTTATTCTGGTACCTCCCCCATAAAGGGTCAACGTTTCGAATAACCGAAACGAGTATTAAATCCGAAATAAGCATCCGGTTCTCTCGATATTTCACAGATCTCATTATTTCTACTAACACAAGATCTGTTGTGCAGATGTGATATATCGGTCCACTCCATCTGGTATCTCCCACACAAAGGTAAGCTCATAAAACGTGTAATTAACATTCGATTTAATTCAAACGTAGGGCATTTGGATATTTCTACCAACACGAGATATCTTATAAAGATGTTAGAGACCGGACCATTTCTTCTGCTACCTCACCCACGTAGGATTCAAGATTTTGAAAGACAGAACGCTCAAAGAAAGCGAATTAAGCATCCAATTCTTTTTAAACTTCACACATACAAACATTTTTGCTAACACAAGATCTGTTTGAATATCCATTTTGAATATCCAAAACGCGAAATTGACAACAGATTCCATTCATACGTGGTACATCTCGATACTTCCATCAAAACAAAATCTACTATAAAGATGGTAGAGATCGGACCACAAAAGATCAAAATGTTGAATAACCAAAACGATCATAAAATCCGAAATAAGCATACGGTTCTTTACTAACACAAGATCTGCTGTGAAAATGGGATATACAGGGTGAGATGACAAAAACTGCAACCAAGTTCAGACTGCTGTCATTTCTAAGCCACTCGTCTGACAGCTGTTAAAATTATTTCTGTGACAGCTCATTATATTGTTTACGAGCGTACAAAAGCCCTTTGGTGAGAATTTTCCAGAACAAAGGTTATTCGTGATGGAATTCAAGCGTGATGGTGTGATTTCTTTATATTTGGCTGGAAAGACACAAGTGGCTATCGTTAGAGCACTCCAGCATTTAAATGTAAATAAATATTTTTGTCTCGTACCATCGCTCGTTTCCCTGATACTGGTAGCGTAGCTCGACTTTAAGGAAGTGGACGGAAGAAAACAGCAACATCAGAAGAAATGGTTCGAAAAGTAAAGAAGCGACATGATCGAAACCCGCGTCGCTGTGGCCGAAAAATGGCTAATGAGCTGAAAATATCGCAATATTTCATTCGGCAAATATTGAAAAGTGAGGTCGGGGTAAAGCCATTGAAATTCCAAAAAATTCAAGAACTTACACCGCAACAGAAAGAAAATAGACTCAAAAGAGCTAAAGAAGCAACTCTTGGCCGAAAGTGGTGAACTGTCGAATTTGGTCTTCTGCGATGAGAAAACATTCGTTGTCCAGCAGTTTGTAAACAAACAAAATGATCATGTTTAATTGCCAAAGAGGTCAGCTGAAAATGTGCACCTTCGGTTGGCCACCAGAACTCAAGAGCCGGCCATGGTGATGGTTGGGCCGCCATAACAGCCTATGGTCGCTCTCAGCTCGTATTAATCGACCGTGGCATCAGAATAAATGCCGAATATTATCGCGAAAATATTCTGGAGGGTGTATTGAAGCCTAGGGCACGCAAACATTTTGGCCGCAGACCTTGGACTTTCCAACAGGACTCAGCACGCGCCACCCAAGAATTATTACAAAATGAGATTCCTCGCTTCTTTTCCAGCGCACAATGGATTGATAAAATTTTACTCAAATCTATGTTATGTTTGCAGGACTTTTGGTATTGAAAATGGGCTATGTAGGTCCACGTTTTGGTATAGTCCCCATATAACGGTACCTCCCGGAATTCGGTATTTTGATGATTTTAGCCACATTATTCACCGGAATTGTTTCAAATTTGGTAATATATGTTCGTAATGGACGCTGCAGCCTATGACTGAAAATTGTCTATGCAGGTCCATGTCTTCGTATAGCCCCCATATAACGGTACCTCCCCATATTCGGTATTTTGATGATTTTAGTGACATTATTCACCGGAATTGTTTCAAATTTGTTATTTTAAGTTCGTAATGTATATTACAGTCTAAGACAAAAAAATGTCTGTCGAGTTCCACCTCTTCGTAGAGCCCCCATATAACGGTACCTCCCGATATTCGGTATTTTAATGATTTTAGCGACATTTTTCACCGGAATTGTTTCAAATTTCGTATTTGAAGTTCGTAATGTATACTACAGCCTAAGACTGAAATTTTTTTGTGCCGATCCACGTCTTTGTATAGCCCCCATATAACGGTACCTCCCGATATTCGGTATTTTAATATTTTTAGCGACATTTTTCACCGGAATTTTTTCAAATTTGGTATTTTAAGTTCGTAGTGGATACTACAGCCTAAGACAGAAAATTTTCTGTGCAGGTCCACGTCTTCGAATAGCCCCCATATAATGGTACCTTCCGATATTCGCTATTTTTATGATTTTATCTACATTATTACCGATTTTTTTAAGTTTCGCATTTGAATATTGTAATGGCTTATGACAAATATTACCTATGTAGGTCCATGTCGTCGTATAGACCATAATATGACAGCTACTTTCGGTATTTTTAAGATTTTAGCAGAATTTTTAATGGATTTTTAGAATTGCCAATTACGTGGAGGGTATTGAAGTTTTTTTACTTGTTATAATCTTTAATATTGGCAAGATATTTTTATAAACTTTAAAGATTTCAAAACTGTCAGTCGGTTTGGCCGACAGATGTATATCCAATGTATCAGTGTCTCTTTGTTAACATATATGTCTACGTGTGTTATTCAAGCTTCTGACCATTTATGGGGGAGGTTCCGAAAGGGTTGACCAATATTGTCAACCCTTTTGGAACCTCCCCATATTAAAAGTTACCAGATTTGGCCTATATCGACTTTTTCCTGTACCTTTATGAGATATGAGTTAATTTTTAGAATAATTTCGATTGTACGGAATGTACCAGATAAAGCGAACCCAAGTATTTTACTTCATCTTAAGCTGATATAAATTTTGGAATGTGCAAAATTTAAAGGAAAATCGACCAGGTGGGCGATCAATGGGAAATAGGGCCAAAAATATAATACCCTCTGTAGCCATATGGCAATGTTTATAATAATGCCTATGCCAAATCGCCGGAATTCAAGTACTCATGGAAATTTTTTACAAAATTTTCTCGCCCACATCCCATTGTGCATTTCCACCTTTGCTGCTTCCTAAACATACACATTCATACATATATCGTATCATATGTGTGTATGTTTGTGTGACAATGTCTCAGCGTAGAACGCTCATCGCTCATACCTTCCGTGAAAAATTTTATATCTTTAAAAATATTATGTGTATTTATTTATTCATTCTTTACGCGGTAATATTTATTATTTTAATACGTTTATGTTTACGAAGATGGCAAAGGGGGATGAATTGTCATATTTTTCGAAGTGTTTCGAAGAAATTTAAAATAACTTCCTTGCCTCAAGCTAGACGGAATCAATCATGAGTTTACAACACACTTCCAGGTTTGTTTGTGTAGCTGGATGGAGTTCTACATCCCTTTAAGACAACAAAGAGTGGGGGGAAGCGAAGGGAGTGTGTTGAATATTAAATAATGTTTACAATTTTTATGAAGTTATTAAAATATTTTGATGACTGTCACTAATTTTCTTGTCACGACTTTTTTTCTCATTCCAGTGTGGATATTGTGCGGAAGCATGAAATAATGACAATTTTCGAAATTTAAGGGTAAGTTTTTCAATATTGAAATAACTTTCAAAACACGAATCATCATGCCATTTTAAAATGAAGCTACAAAATTTTTTAATGGGAAGTGGGGTGATTGTTATTATACCCTACACCACATAGTGGTAAGGGTATTCTGTCTTTGTGCATTTGTTCGTAACATGGAGAAGGAAGCGAGATAGACACATAGTTACTTTTGAGGATCTCCATAGAATTATTTTCTGAGTTGATGTCAGTCCGTCTGTCCGTCCGTCCGAGATAGACCCATAGTTACTTTTGAGGATCTCCATAAAATCACTTTCTGAGTTGATTTATTCATGTCAGCCCGTCCGTCTGCCCATGTATTCTTGTGAACAAAATGCAGGTCGCATTTATTATCGGATTGAGATGAACTTTTGCAAACAACATTTGTTTGGCCCAAGGACGAACCCTATTGAAATTGGAGATAATCGGTAAAAATTTAGATATAGCTCACATATATATCTTCGTCCGATTTGCCTTTTCTTGTGCACCAAACGTGTAATATCAGCCCGAATAGTATGGAATTTTGCATATACACCCAAATTAGGCCTGAAAATAGGAATGCCAAATTTGATCGAAATCGGTTCAGATATAGCTATAGCTCCCATATATATTGTTCATCCGATTTGTTATTTTAGTCCTTCGCAGCCGTAATATGCACTCTGTAACAACAATATTTGGGGAAATAAATCAAATACAGCTCAGAAATACATGTGCCAAATTTTATCGATATCGGTTCAGATTTGGATATAGCTCCTATATATAACTTCGTCCGATTTACCTTTTATTGTGCACCAAACGTCTAGTATTTGCCAAAATGGGATGGAATTTGACCGGCCGTATGTCCATGTATTTTTGTGAACAAGGTACAGTTGGCATTTATTACCCGATCCAGATGAAATTTAGCACAAATCATTTGTTTGGCCCAAGGACGAACCCTATTGAAATTGGAGATAATCGGTCACAATTTAGATATAGCTCCCATATATATCTTCGTCCAATTTGCCTTTTATTGTGCATCAAACGCGTAATATCAGCCCGAACAGTATGGAACTTTGCACATGCAACCAAATTAGGCCTGAAAATAAGTATGCCAAATTTGATCGAAATCGGTTCAGATATAGCTCCCATATATATATTGTTCATCCGATTTGTTATTTTTGTCCTCCGCAGCCGTAATATGCACAATAACAACAATATTTGGGGAAATATATCAAATACAGCTCAGAAATACTTTTGCTAAATTTTATCGAGGTCGGTTCAGATTTGGATATAACTCCCATATATAACTTCGTCCGATTTAGCTTTTATTGTAAACCAAACGTGTAATATTTGGCCAAATGGGATGAAATTCGGCACATACGACCGAATTGAGTCTAGAAGCTAGCGTGGCAAATTTGGTGAAGATCGGTTCAGATATAGCTATAGCTCCCATATATATTGTTCATCCGATTTGTTATATTAGTTACCCACAGCCGTAATATTCACTCCGTAACAACGATATTCAGGGAAATATATCAAATGCAGCTCAGAAATACCTTTGCTTAATTTTATCGAGATCAGTTCAGATTTGGATATAGCTCCCATATATAACTTCGTCCGATTTACCTTTTATTGTACACCAAACGTGTAATATCAGCCCGAATAGTTTGGAATTATGCACATACAACCGAATTAGGCCTGAAAATAAGTATGCCAAATTTGATCGAAATCGGTTCAGATATAGTTATAGCTCCCATATATATTGTTCATCCGATTTGTTATTTTTGTCCTCCGCAGCCGTAATATGCACTCTGTAACAACAATATTTGAGGAAATATATCAAATGCAGCTCAGAAATATCTCTGCCAAATTTTATCGAGATCGGTTCAGATTTGAATATAGCTCCCATATATAACTTCGTCCGATTTACCTTTTGTTGTACATCAAACTTCTAATATTTGCCCAAATGGGATGGAATTTGGCACTTACGACCGAATTGAGGTTAGAAGGTAGTATGTCAAATTTGGTGAAGATCGGTTCAGATACAGCTATAGCTCCTATATTTTTCATCCGATTTGTTATTTTTGTCCTCCGCAGCCGTAATATGCACTCTGTAACAACGATATTCAGGGAAATATATGAAATACAGCTCAGAAATATCTTTGCCAAATTTTATCGAGATCGGTTCCGATTTGGATATAGCTCCCATATATATCTTTATCTGATTTCAAATTAATTTTGCACCAAATGGGCAATACAAGTCCGAATTTAAATTTTACAAATGCTTCGGCATATTTAGTCCTTTGAACTTTAAATAATAATTATAATCAGAGCGTGTAGGATTGAGTTCTCCCATAAAAACTTTTAATTGTTATGTGGAGCTCTACAAAATAACCAGAGTGTTGTAGGGTATCATAAAGTCGGCCCCGACCGACTTTAGGACTTTCTTCACTGGTTTTCAATTACATTTGAATTTTATCACGCTTGTAAATTTTCTCCTGCATTTGGTTGCCATTTGACATCTGTTAAATTATTTGTAAATTGTTAAATGTCTGGAAGCAATGAGGAGAACGAGGACGTTCTGATGTACCCCTGTTGAATTGTCCAAAAAATTTGTTTTCAAAATGTCAAAAAGTTAAGTTGTTTGGGTTTGACAAACAAGCCACCAAAAGGCAAGTGAGTGTTGCCAGTCTGTCTCTCTGCTGTCATCCCCAAAAGAAAAGGGTTGTTGGGCTGCTACTTCGTTACCTTCCCAATTGGCCCCTTAATTTTTATCACTTCTGTAAACACACCACAATTTACATATGTTCGTTTGCCGTGTTTTTCTTAGCCGCCATCATCATCGTCCTCATCTCTTCTTCACCAACGAACATTTCTATTGAATTCCATTTCCATTGATTATTTTTGCTGCTGCTGATCCCGTCTGGAATTCTATTCGTTATTTGGAAATTAATTTCAACATTAATTGGACAGTGAGGAGGGATAGGAGGGGGTATTGATTTGTTTAATCGGCTTATGCCAATTTACGTTGTGACAGTTTTTGACCATTTTCTCTGTTGTCGTTTTCGTTTGTTCGCTCTTTTGTCTGACATTTTATTTACTGTCTTGTCAGGTCTTACCTTTTGTGGGTCGTAAATATTTTGCGTCTGTCAGTCTCTCTGTGTGCGTCTGGTTAAACAATTTAATGGGTTCGAGGACATTTTATGCATGATTTATGTCTTAAGCATTAATATCAATATAGACATCGAAGGTTTTAGATTTCGATGGTTTGGTGGCAAATGGTTACACCTGCTAAACAAGGTTAATTTAAAGATTTTGGCAAAAAAGAGAATGTCGATATCCACATTAGATCACGAGTTTGGACAAATATAGAGAAATACTTAGTACGGATGTAAAAAGGGTTATACGTACCCAAAATAATGACCCTATGTAAGGGAGGTACCAAAAGGGGTGGTCAGATATATTTCATATTTATACCAGATCTTGTGTTGAATGGAATCAAATGTTAATTTACCGATTTATGAGGTTTATGGGTTTTGAAATTTTTGACCCTTTGTGGGAGAGGTACCAAAAGTAGTAGGCCGATACCTACCATCTTTATATAAGATCTGGTGTTAGTAAAAATATTGGAATGTATGAAGTAAATAATGAATCGGCTATTATTTCGATTTCATGAGAGATATAATTATTTAAAATTTTAACCCTTTGTAGGGGGAGGTACAAGAAAGAGTGGTCCGATATATTCCTTATTCACGCCAAGTACTAAGTTTGAAATTAATCGAATGCACATATTGCCTTTTCATGGTTATTTAAAATATTGACCCTTTGTAGGGGAAGTACAGGAGTGAACCGACCACCCCCTCCCACCAATTTCACACCAGTTCTATTGTTATTAAAAAGTTGGGATGTGTGAAATTTTGAAGAGAATTGGATACTTATTTCGCATTTTACCAGAGCCGTATTTATTCAAAATTTTTAACCCTTTATGAGGAAGGTACCAGATTTCCAAAGTTGGATCAAAATCGAATGATTTACTGTGAAGTAAAATATTTTCTTTGAAAATTTCGAAAATTTTGTGGAGGAGGTACCAGAAGGAGTGAACTCAATTTAAGTTTGATAATAATATTACGATGTACCAAGTTTGGGTCAATTCGGATAATCCCTTCGAGAATTAGCGTGTGCACCAGCCAGACAGGCAGGTGGACGAACACCTTAAGATCGACTCCAAATGTCCTGAAACGGATTTGGCCCAAGGAGACCTAGGGTCTAAAACCGTTACTTCGATGAGGCACGTTATGGTCGTATCAAATGGTATATACCCTCCCTAGCTACATGACTGAGGGTATAAAAAATAGCTTCCATTTGGTATTTCAGATTCTAAAAATATACAAATCGCCCCTGCTAAAAATACACAATATAGGTCCATTAGTTGGTGGTGTCTTCTGGTCATATTGTCGTATCTTCTTATATTTCTTGTTTTAGAGGTTTCATTCAAAATTATCTACCAATTGTCTATAATTTTTCATTTATTTCCATTGGATGATGATGACATACATTTTTTATACCCTCAGCCATATGGCTACAGAGGGTATAAAAAATTTTATACGGCCAAAACGGCCAAACAACAGTTTAAGATCCTACGTCTCTTTGAACAAAATCAGTTACAGGATATCTGGAATCGAGCAAAGGTGTCCGTCCGTCTATTTGTCTGTCGATTTGATTCAAACTTGGTACATCGTTATATTTTTGTCAAACTTAGATCGAGTTCGGAGTAGGGCAATATCGGTCCACTCTTTGTAGTACCTTCCCCACAAAAGATTCAAAGAAAATGTTTTACTTGATGGAACTAGAAATGATTATACAATGTTTTGCAAATCGTAATATAGCTATAAGTGGAGGTGGTAGGTTAGGGTCGAAAATGGACAATATCGGCACATCCAACAAAGCGTTTTCAGAATAATTAAATTTTTTATATTCAGTCAAATCGTCCTGAAATCTCG